CAACTAATGCCGGTGAGTGTGCTCCGCGGAGTGTCTGACGCGGGTAAACACTTGGTGAGAGTGAGCGGCTCTTATTTAAGTGGTCCCCGGCTCAACAAGCTAAGGCCAGCCTGCTAAGATCACAGCAGGGAAGCCAGCATTCAAATAAGGGTCTTTCTGACCTCAATGCCCGTGCTTTCCACGCTAGAGAAGTATGCCTGCCTGCTTGCCCTTGCACAAAGCGGGAGTGGGAGAGGCCGGGAGAGCACAGGCAGGAGGGGGAAGGAAAATGGACAATGGGAATGGGAAGTTAAGAAAACGGAAGGGGCAAAGGAAAATGCAGGGAGAGCCCTAAGTGGTAGGAAAAGGAAAAGGAAATGGAGAGCCGAGCAGAAGAGTGGGAAAAGCAAGAGGGAGGAGAGTGGAAGGCAGAAGCTCCTCCCCAGGCCCTGCCCTCCCGGGCTGAGTTCCTGGTCCCGGGACCTCTCCCCTCTTCTGACCCTCCTGCAGCTTGCCTTTCCCCTTCCCAGCCCTGGCCCCTCGCCGCACTGCCCCAGCACTGCCCCAGGACAAAGTCTGAGCCCTGAGCGTGGGTTAGACCCAAGTTAGAGCACAACTCCCTCCCACCTGTCTTTCTAGACACACCTTCAGCTGTTCTCTGCTCTCTATTCTTTCCCTCTATTTTTAACTATAAGAAAATAGACTTTTTTCCCCTACCACCAGATTACAACCACTTTATTCATAAGTGCTTTGCCTATTTTTTTTAAAATTCTGACACTCAGCAGAACCCATCAGTTCTGTATTTTGATAGTAAACTGAAAAACTCGCTTAATTTTTATATGATTGGCATTTAATTTTTCAGTTAAAGCTGCCATTATCAAAATCATGTATCATTTTACATTAAGTGATACTGTAGGTATTTCTACCCAGTGTCATCTTATTTTTTTAAAAGATTTATTTATTTTAGAGAGGGGAAGGGCAGAGGGAGAGGGAGAGAGAGAATCCAAGCAGACTTCCCACTGAGTGCGGAGCCCACAGCAGGGCTCTGATCTCACTACCCGGAGATAATGACCTGAGCCAAAATCAAGAGTCAGATGCTTAACCACATGAGTCACCCGGGTGCCCCCAGTGTCATTTTACTTATAAAAATATAATAAGAATCCTCATAATCACAATTAATTATTTTGGTTTAGATAATAGCATTTCCCTTTACTCTTCTGTGAACTCCCAAACTCTATTGATATATTGCATATTTTGGGCATTTTGATTTTTACTTTTTTTTTTTTAAGATTTTATTTATTTATTTATTTATTTATTTATTTATTTATTTAAAAGATTTTATTTATTTATTTGAGAGAGAGAGATTGAGAGAGAGCACATGAGAGGGGGGAGGGTCAGAGGGAGAAGCAGACTCCCTGCCAAGCAGGGAGCCCGATGCGGGACTCGATCCCGGGACTCCAGGATCATGACCTGAGCTGAAGGCAGTCGCTTAACCAACTGAGCCACCCAGGTGCCCCTATTTATTTTTTGACAGAGAAAGAGACAGTGAGAGAGGGAACACAAGGAGGGGGAGTGGGAGAGGGAGAGGCAGGCTTCCCGCTGAGCAGGGAGCCCGATGTGGGGCTCGACCCCAGTACCCTGGGATCATGACCTGAGCTGAAGGCAGACACTTAACAACTGAGCCCCCCAGGTGCCCTCTTTTTTTTTTTTAAGATTTATTTTTATTTATTTGACAGACAGCGAGAGAGGGAACACAAGCAGGGGGAGCGGGAGAGGGAGAAGCAGGCTCTCCACTGAGCAGGGAGCCCAATGTGGGGCTCAATCCCAGCACCCTGGGATCATGACCTGAGCCGAAGGCAGATGCTTAACAACTGAGCCACCCAGGCGCCCCTGATTTTTACTTTTTCTTATTTTTTTCAACATTCCTTCCCTCCTTGCTTTACCTACCTGTCCCTTCCCCTAAGTTCCCCAAGTTTTTTAAACTCATAAACTGGGGATTAATATTATAACAGCAAAACACAGCAGAGTCAGACTAGTATACAACTCAGATCTGCCTAATAATGTTGTAGGCCAACTTGTAGTGCTAGAGTTCAGATTTATAAACGGTGCAGGAACTGATAACCATAGGCAGGTCAGCCAGAATTGACAATGGAAAGATCTGGAAATGATCTTTGAGAAGTTATTTAGCCCAGTGCCTTATTTATTTTTAATCCTTAATTCTTTGCGATGTAGATCCCATTGTTCTGGCAAAGAATCATGGTACTAACCAACCAAGCAAGCTCAGAAACAAATTCTCACCACATTTCATGAAGAGGGCACCCATTCTGAACAGACCTCAGTATGTGTTGTGAACTCCGGCCATGTGACATTTCCTGTCCTAGAGAGTGCATAGTGCTTGGTAGTAGGTTTGTTATTGAAAAGCACTCTCAGCCAGTGAGTGGTGGATAGACTCCTTTTTCAGCAAGGTGATGTGGCTGGGCTTCTGTAGCTCAGGCAGGAAAATTCCAGAGGGATGAAATGACCTTCAGCAAAGGGGATTCCAAAAGTGCCCATTCATTTACAAATATTATATTGAGTGGCTGTTTGGGATGCCATCTCAGTAAAGAACTATACTTTATAACTAAAACATTCTCTAATGCTTTCATTGCCGATACTGGCATGCAAGTCATGCTCGCATTAACAGACAGGTATGGAGTCTTCTAGGTCAGCTTTATGTCTATTAAGATTTTTTTTTTAAGATTTTATTTATTTATTTGACAGAGAGAGACACAGCGAGAGAGGGAACACAAGCAGGGGGAGTGGGAGAGGGAGAAGCAGGCTTCCCGCCGAGCAGGGAGCCCAATGTGGGACACCCCTATGTCTATTAAGATTTGAAATGTGCCCTGAAGGAGCATGTAATTTAGTAGGGGAGACAGTCTGTTAAACAGCTAAAAATAATTGATTGTAATAGGTAGTGTAATTTGTTCCTTTCCAGGTCTCTGTATCGAATAAAGTGCTGAAGAAATACAAACGAGGGAGACATTTTATTGAGTTGAAGGGCAGGTGAGGCCTTAAAGGATGAATAGGAGTTTTCTAGGCAGGCAGGGAGGAGAAGGGTGTTTCCCATAGAGCTCATGGACAAAGGTGTGAAGGCAGAAGAGTCATGACGTATTCAAGGACAGTGGTGGCTGGAGTGGCACCGTATGGGGCTGGAAGAATGGACTGGGCCAGAGTTTGTTGGGAGCGTAGAAAGTAGAGGTGAGGGCTTCTGGGTGGCTCAGTCATTAAGTGTCTGCCTTCGGCTCAAATCATGATCCCGGGGTCCTGGGATCGAGCCCCGCATGTGCTCCCTGCTCAGCGGGAAGCCTGCTTCTCCCTCTCCTACTCTCCCTGCTTGTGTTCCCTCTCTTGCTGTGTCTCTCTCTGTCAAATAAATAAATAAAATCTTTAAAAAAGAAAAAAAAGAAAGAAAGTAGAGGTGATGTTGGAGTGTTGAGGAAAGAAGGTGTGGAACAATCTGTCTGTCCTCTACTTTGGGAAATCCGACTCCTTTTCATTAGTTGCTCTCTGACCTAGCTGCTACCCAGGAGAAAGTAAGGCTTCTCCTTTTTTCTTCCCTGTGTGTTTTTGTTCAGAGCCATTTATCCCATTGTCTTATGGTTGACTTAGATACCTATCTTTCTCTGTAGGCTGTGAAGTCCTGGAGGGGTCAGGATTTTGTTGTATATATTTAGGTTACTACTCAGCTGCATCTTAGATGCCAGATAAATGTTTCTTGGATCGGGCTACTCCATAGATTAATATCTCAGCTAAGATATATTACAACTTTAAAATGGTAAAGATTCTGTGATTCTAAATCTTAACATCTTCCACATTGGCCTAATTTCATGTAGTCTATATGACAGAGATGATTATCTTAAGAACTGAAGAACTCCTCTGGCATCATAACTTGTTTGGCATGAATCACTTTTTTTCTTAAATGTTAATTTGTTTAAATTCAAAGTTCTTTGTCTAGGAAAATGAAATGTTCACATTTTGAAACTCTAAAAATAACACACTGGAAGAGTTGATGCCAAAACAGTGGTTTCAATCAGAAATGCTCTCTGAATCCAGCATCTAAATGAGAACTAATTACTGAATCAGATCACAGTTACTAGGCATTCATTGTTTTAAGGCAATTAGCAGCGGTATTGAGAAACCTAAGTAACGAAGTATTTTAAAAACTCTCCAGTTTTGCTCAAATTTCTAATGTGTTGGGATGGCCAAATGTTCCTCATAGGCGAGATATAATATGAATGATGATATTTTATAATAAAGTTTTAACGAATATCAATCTCATTCTCTTTGTGGATAGATAGGCTCCCCTAAATCAGATCTGATTGATCATGTATTTTTTGATTTATGTTAATTTAGAAATAAGTGCTCTTAATTTGCTATGGAATTTGCTAAATTTGCTGAGATCAGATTTACTAAGGTAGTTTCCTACCTTACATGATTGAATAAAGCCTTTAAAAAATTATCTTGTTTCTGTAAAAGAGGTTTCTCAAGCTTGAAATGCAATTATGGGGGGAGGAAATTTCAAGACAATCTGCTTATCAGTCCTCATTAATCTGTCTAGCAAGGCTTAGCAGTATTAATTTTGATTTTGCTTGATTCTTTTCTCCTTATTTGGAAACATTTGCTGTTTATTTCATGTATAGAATATAAGACATTTAGGGCGCCTGGGTGGCTCAGTTGGTTAAGCGACTGCCTTTGGCTCAGGTCATGATCCTGGAGTCCCGGGATCGAGTCCCGCATCGGGCTCCCTGCTCAGCAGGGGGTCTGCTTCTCCCTCTGACCCTCCCCCCCTCATGCTCTCTCTATCTCAGTCTCTCTCTCAAAAAAAAAAAAAAAAAAAAAGAATATAAGACATTTAATAATATAACTGATCGGTATGTCAGTATGATTTATGATCCACTTAGTAACTTAATAATGAGCTTTAGACGTCATTTAAATTCCAGATATAAACTGTTAAATAATTTAATGCTTATTTTTTTCAACAGATGTGAATTATTAAAAAGAAAATGGCCCAACGGAGCACTGCATTTCCTTCTCTCGTCACCGAGGAAAGGTATAATATATGGAAAATATGCATCTAAGGTATACTTTTCCTTTCCACCAATCCCATGAGGGCTGCTAGTGGGTGTGATGGTTATTGTAAATGAAGGCTTATGGCTGTTACGTTACCCAGGGCTGATTTTGTTCAAGGGCAAGAGAAGTGCAGTTGCATCCCTCTCCAGCATCCAATTTGTAGGATCTGCTCAGTGATAGTGAAAAGTGGAGACTTCATAATAGCCTTACAGTACAGCTGTACTTTTGGTCCCTAGGAAAATGCAACTCTGGAGGCTCGGTCCCACTAACCCTTTTAAACCAGAAGTTGTAGATTGGAGGGTCCATAGACCAGAAGTGGCTCATGGAAACACATTGTTGGGCCTGCATTATCTTAAATAGTTTTTAAATGACTTGTTAACATTTAAAAATCAGGTGATTTCACATACAAGCCTGAATTTCCCGCTTTTCTTGAAATACAAGATAATCTGGAAAAACAGACCTGCATTCCCAGCTGGCCACTTGCGGATGGAGCAAAACTGTGGCTGCCTTTAATGGAGGAATGCCCTTTCCAGCTCTCCAAAGTCCCTTCCCTGTGTATCATATGTGATGTACATCATTCATTTTTGTCACCTGCTTGACCCTTGTAGGCATATGAGTTTGTTGTTATGTTAAAAAAAAGTGCTGTAGGGGAATGGAGGAGGAGGGCATGTCGGGAGACTTTGTGAATAAGCTTGATCTTTATAGATTTTTCTTTAAAGATTTATTTATTTTAGAGTGAGAGAGAGCATGCGCATGTGCGAGCAGGGGGAGGGGTGGGGAGGGGCGGGGAGGGGCGGGGGGGTTTGGAGAGAGAGAGAAAGAGAGAGAGAAAGAGAGAAAGAAGCAGACTCCCCGCCGAGTGGGGAGCCCAACGCGGGGCTCCATCTCACGACCCTGAGATCATGACCTGAGTTGACATTAAGAGTTGAGACGCTTAACCAACTGAGCCCCCCAGGCGTCCCAAAAAGCTTGGTCTCAATAAGCTTAGATTGGAATTGGGCACATCTCAACATGCCCAGTTCCACCAACCTCTTGCTTTTGGAGGTCATGGAGCCTGCTACCAGCACAGTTGAGGCTCTGGGTATGATTGTTTAAAGATGCCTGGCTCTCTGAGAAAACTCTCTGTGGCAGAAACCCTGCCTCAAACCCCATTTAGCTTGTAGGGAGAGATAATTTGCATTTCCTTCTCTGGGCAGTCTTGAATCTGGCCTTTTGAAAATGACTTTTTCCCAACGAACAACCCTAGCAATGTGGTTCCCTCCCACAGGCGAGTTAGAACCATGCCCCGACACAACCAGTCCCTGACCATGGCACCCTACTCATCTGTAAGCCTCGTGGAACAACTGGAAGATAGGATCCTCTGTCACGAGAAGACAACGGCTGCCCTCGTGGAGCACGCCTTCCGGATTAAGGACGACATCGTCAGCAGTTTGCAGAAAATGCAGAACAAAGGGGGCGGTGACCGCTTGGCCAGGCTTTTCTTGGAGGAGCACATCAGAAACATAACTGCCATCGTGAAGCAACTCAATCGGGATATTGAGGTGAGTGAGGCGTGTGAAAGTCAGGGTGGCTGCCTGCCTTCCCGCAGATGGCTCCTTCCCCCCGCGCGGGGTCAGCAAGTCGAGGGCCCGCCTCCCCAGCGGTAATGCATTCAGACCAAAGCTTTCTGCCTGTGTGTTCTAGTGATCACCAAGGAAACAGCTGAGCAAATATCCTAATTAAAGGTATTGCAGTATTTGATAGCAGTTACTGTCAGTGTTATTTACGTTTAATCTAAATTTACCTTGCTGGCTATTAAATCACTTTGTTTTGTTTGGCTCTCAATGGAGAGAGAGAAGAACGAGTCAAATAGTTTCTCTGTGAAACCCTTCATACCGATGAAGATAGCTATTAAGTCAATTACTAGGTCAGCCTTTGCTGCTCCAGATTAAATGTTTCTAGGCCATGATGATTATATATAATACAGTTTATTACTTGAACAGTTTAAGGATTTAAATTGCTTCTCAGACTTTCCTTTTATTGCTTTATTTTTTTTTCTCTGAAATGAGTGCAATAAAAAGCCAATATTGTCAAAATTTTTAAGATTCATAAATTGACTGCTATCTACTGAACAATCACAGGGACCACACAGTTTCACTCAGAAGCTTAAGATCATTTAGGGCCTGGGTTTTCATTACTGAACACTGGTAATGTCCTTCACCTGTAATTTTTAAATATATAAATAAGAGGTATGTGGACAGATTAAGGAAAACCTTTGTTTCAAGTCATGGAGATTGTATCTGAATTATGCTTCCTGAAATTTTCAGTGTCAGATTGTATTTGTTTGTTTATTTATTTATTTATTTATTTATTTATCTATCTGGATTATCAGATCAATTATCTTTTTTTATCTTTTATTTTATTTTATTTTTTTATTCTTTTTTTTTTTTTTTAAAGATTTTATTTATTTATTTGACAGAGAGAGAGATAGCAAGAGCAGTAACACAAGCAGGGGGAATGGGAGAGGGAGAAGCAGGCTTCTTGCCGAGCAGGGAGCCCGATGTGGGACTTGATCCCAGGACCCTGGGATCATGACCTGAGCCGAAGGCAGACGCTTAACGACTGAGCCACCCAGGCGCCCTATTTTTTTATTCTTATGTTAATCCCCATACATTATATCATTAGTTTTAGATGAAGTGTTCCATGATTCATTGTATGTGCGTGTTTATTTATTTTTTAACAGCTCTATTGAGGTATGATTTATAAGGCACAAAAATCTACCCAGTGTAAGTATATAATTCAATATTTTTAGAAAATTTATAGAATTGTGTAACCATCAACACAATTCAGTCGTAGAACATTTCCATCACCCCGAAAATTTGTATAGATCTGTGTGCAGTCAATCCCCGCTTCTACCCAGGGTCCCAGGCAACAACTAATCTGCTTTCTGTCCTAGATGTGCCTTTTCTGGACATTCCATATAAATGGAGTCTTACAATATGAAGTCTTTTGAGATTGATTTTTTTCACCTAGCATAATCATTTTGAGGTTCAGCCATGTTCTGGCATGTATCAGTGCAGGCAAACCTCAGAGATATTACAGGTGTGGTTCCAGATCACCACAATAAAGCAAATATTGCAATACAGCAAGTCAAATGAATGTTTTGGTTTCCCAGTGCATATGAAAGTTATGTTTATACTATACTGTAATCTATTAAACGTATAGTAGTTATGTCAAGAAAATGTGCATACCTTAATTTAAAAACACTTTATTGGGGGCGCCTGGTGGCTCAGTCAGTTAAGCGTCTGCCTTTAGTTCAGGTCATGATCTCAGGGTCCTTGGATTGAGCCCCGCATCGGGCTCCCTGCTCAGTGGGGAGTCTGCTCGTCCCTGCCCCTGTGCTCCTCCCCTCCACTCATGCTCTCTCTCTTTCTCTCAAATAAGTAAATAAAATCTTAAAAAAACAACAACAACCCACTTTATTGCTGTTGGGCTCCATGCTGGGCAAAGAGCCTACTTAAAAAAAAAAAAAATTAAAATAAATAAGTAAATAAAAATAATACTAACCATCATCTGAGCTTCCAGTGAATCATAATCGTTTTGCTGCTGGAGGGTCTTGCCTTGATGTGGATGGCTGCTGACTGATCAGGGTGGTGGTTGCTGAAGTTGGGGTGGCTATGGCAAGTTCTTAAAATAAGACAATGATAAAGTTCGCTGCATTAATTGGTTCTCATTTCATGAACAGTTTCTCCATACATATGATGGTGTTGATACTATTTTACCCACAGTAGAACTTCTTTCAAAAGTTTTATCAACTAGGTTTATGTACTGTTCTAAATGTTTTGTTGTTGTTTCGACAGTCTTCACAGCATCTTCGCCAGGAGTAGACTGTACCTCAAGAAACCACTTTCTTTGCTCTTCCATAAGAAGCAGCTCTTCATGCTTTATCATGAGACTGCAGCAATTCAGTCCCATCTGCAGGTTCCACTTCTAATTCCAGTTCTCTTGCTATCTCCGCCACATCTGCAGTTACTTCCTCCCCTGAAGTCTTGAACCCCTCAAAGTCATCCATGAGGGTTACAATCCAGTTCTTCCAAACTCCTGCTAATGTTGATATTTTGACCTCTTCCCATGAATCACAAATTTCTTAACAGCGTGTAGAATGGTGAATCCTTTCCAGAGGGATTTCCAGAAGGAATCACTATCCATGGTAGCTCTAGCCTTATGAAATGTATTTCTTAAATAATAAGACGTGAAAGCTGAATGTACTCTGTGATCCATGGACTGCAGAATGGATAGTGTGTGAGCAGGCATGAAAACAACATTTATCTCATTGTACATCTCCATCAGAGCTCTTGAGTGACCAGGTACACTGTCAGTGAGCGGTAGTATTTTGAAAGGAATCTTTTTTTCTGAGCAGTAGATCTCAACAGTGGGTTCAAAATACTCAGTAAACCATGTTATAAAACAGATGTGCTGTCATCCAGGCTTTGTTCCACTGACAGAGAGCACAGGCAGAGTAGACTTATCATAATTTTTAAGGGCCCTAGGATTTTCATAATGGTAAGTGGGCATTGGCTTCAATTGCAAGTGACCAGCTGTATTAGCCCCTAACAAGAGAGTCAGCCTGTCCTTTGAAGTCTTTTTGTTTGTTTGTTTGTTTTTTGAAGTCTTGAAGCCAGGCATTGACTTCTGTCCAGCTATGAAAGTCCTAGATGGCATCTTCTTCCAATAGAAGGCTGTTTCATTTATATAGAAAATCTGTTGCTTAGTGTAGCCACCTTCATTAATTATCTTAACTAGATCCTTCTGGATAACTTGCTGCAGCTTCTACATCAGCACTATTGCTTCACCTTGCATTTTTGTATTATGGAGACAGCTTCCTTCCTTAAACCTCATGAACTAGTCTCTGCTAGCTTCAGACTTTCCTTCTGTGGCTTCCTCACCTCTCAGCCTTCATAGAATTCATAGGATCCAGTCCCGCTTTGGGCTCTGCACTCATTGCAGAGTCTGCTTAGGATTCTCTCTCCCTCTCCCTCTCTCTCTGCCCCTCTCACTCATGCTCTTTCTCTCTCTAAAATAAATAAATTTAAAAGAAAATAAAAAATAAAGTGAGAGATGTGCGACTCTTCTTTTCACTTGAACACTTAGAGGCCTGATTTCAATATTGTTGTGTCTCAGGGAACAGGGGAGCCCGAGGAGAGGGAGAGAGATGGAGGAATGGCTGCTTGGTGGAGCAGTCCAAACACACACTTACACAGGTACAGTTTGGTGTGCCAAAACAATTATGATAGTAACCGTCAGAGGTCACTTTGGTGGTGATCACAGATCACCATAACAAATATAATAATAATGAGAAAGTTTGAAATATTGTGAGAATTACCAAAATGCAACACGGAAACATGAATTGAACAAATGCTGTTAGAAAAAGGGCAGTGATAGACCTGCTTAATGCAGGGTGCCACACACCTTCAATTTGTTTTTGTTTTTTTTAAAGATTTTATTTATTTATTTGACAGAGAGAGACACAGCAAGAGAGGGAACACAAGCAGGGGGAGAGGGAGAGGGAGAAGCAAGCTTCCCGCTGAGCAGGGAGCCCGATGCAGGGCTCGATCCCAGGACCCTGGGATCATGACCTGAGCTGAAGGCAGACGCTTAATGACTGAGCCACCCAGGCGCCCCCAGACCTTCAATTTGTAAAAAAAAAAAAAAAAAAAATGTAGTATCTGGGAAGTGCAATAAAACAAGGTATGCCTGTAGCTTATTTCTTTTTGTTTTTGAGTAATATCCTATTGGATATACCCCATCTTGCTCATCTGTTCATTAATTGATGAACACCTGGATTGTCTCCAGGTTTTAGCTATTATGAGTAAAGCTGCCATGAATGAACACTTGTGTACAAGCCTGTGTGGACATGTTTTCATGTCTCTTGGGTAAATTACTAGAAGTGAAATTCCTGGGTCTTAAAGTAAGCTTATGTTTAACCTTTTTTTTTTTTTTAAGATTTTTATTTATTTATTTAACAGAGAGTGAGAGAGCACAAGCAGGGGGAGCGGCAGAGGGAGAGGGAGAAGCAGGCTTCCCACAGAGCAGGGAGCCCGATGTGGGGCTCGATCCCAGGACCCTGGGATCAGGACCTGAGCCGAAGACCCTGGGATCAGGACCTGAGCCGAAAGCAGACACTTAACCAACTGAGCCACCCAGGCGCCCTGCTTATATTTAACTTTTTAAAACATAGCAAAATAATTTTCCAAAGTGGCTATACACATTTTACAGTCTCATCAGCAATGTATGAGATTTCTCATTTCTCCACATCGTTATCATCACTTGGTATTATCTCTCTTGGATTATAGTCATTACAGTGGATGTGTAGTGGTATTTCACTGTAGTTTAATTTGCATTTCCCTGATGACTAATGATGCTGAGTACCTTTTCATGTACTTACTGGTCATTTGCATGTCTGCTTTGGTGAAATGTCTACCCAAGTCTTCTGCCCATTTTTTAAAATTAATTTTTAAATTGTGGTAAGATATTTACCACTGTATTCAACCATAACCATAAT